GTATAAGAATATTGTTTATACTGAAATAACCACAGCAATCAAATTAGTAAGCAATAGGAGTGATTAAAGCTGCCATCACTCTTAACCTTTCAAATGCAACTTCATTTAGAACCTGCAGCACAAGAAATAGTGCCTTGCTTTTGAAATATAAAGGCACTGCACAAACGGATGTTTCCTTTGAGAGGATGTGTGCCAGGCATTTTACACAGAATAATTCATTCTTTTGCAATTCTATGATGGTTACCTTTATAGACCTTCTTGACTAATATTCAGAATAGTACTCCTAGATAAAAATGTATTTCTGTGAATAAGAAAACACACATGGTGCCAAGGACCCAGAGGTTCCCATGGGTGCTCAGCATTGAAACCTGGTTCTTAGAGAGCTAGCATGGTAACTGCTGGTAGAGGCTGACTGTTTAATGATGAGCGCTACAACACAAATACAGCAAGCATCTTGCTGCATTGGAATGAAAGAAATGACAATTTCTGAAGCAAGATCCAGTGTAGGCCTGGCTGCAGCATCTTTTGCATAATTTTTTTCTCTTTCCTTAAAAAAATAAGAAGGCACCCTTGGAAACCTGAGATCCCATGCTAGTAAATTATCCAGACAGGTATACAATATTTAACTCACAAGGAATTTCTTGTTATAGATGTTTTAGCTCCCTATCAAATACAAGCACATTTGGATTGCAGTTAGCATGATGATATGATTTGTTATGGCAATAGAGTTTTTGTTACATTGTAAAACGGTTTGTTACTCTACTATTGCTGCATAAAGTGTTATGAAAATTAACTAGGTTGTACTCCAAAAAGCCACAGTCAACTTCCACAACTAGCTGCTGAAAAAAAAAATCTTTCCTTCTCATAGCATTTTTCAGCATGGCAAAAAAGAGAGTATGTAATGAGATATAAATGACCTTTTTAACTAAATATCCAGGGAAGATTACTAGTTAAGGAAATAATTAAGCACATGCTTAATTGTAATCACATACTTACATTGCACAGAAGGCAATATGACTTAAGCATGTACTTAAAGTTAAGCATATGTGTAAATGCTTTTTAGAATAAGAATTAGAATTAGAATTAAGATAAGTATAATCTTTTTGATACAGGTTTATTAAAAATAGGGGGAGCAAATAATCATCATCCCAGAATATTAAAAGAACTTGAATACCAAAAAGCAATACCTGTAGCATGGATCTGTAAGGGATCTGTTAATTCAGGGCAAAACCATGTGACTAGAACATAGCAAACACAAGACTGAATCCTTTTTGCCTTTTATACGTGTAAGCGGAACTTACATAGCCATGAAAATGCAGTAGCCATGAAAGTGCAATTTTTAGAGACAGTTTGGATCGTATTTTCACCTGTGCTGGAATAAGACCACCCAGGTACATGTGTACCTGCCAAAATTAAAGCATAGGAAGACCCTCCCACCTTTTAGCCTAACAGCTTAATGAATAGTGCACTTGTCCAGGGAATGGGCCTAAGATTATTTCACTTCCTGGGGCTCTCCTCATTTATAGGGGATTTGAACCTTTATCTCCAAATGCTGAGAGAAGTTGGAATATAAGATAAGGTAGCCCACCTCTTAGAGCTGGTCCACTAAGCAGCCAGGATGGGAAAATATGTGGGGTCTGGAGAAAGCTACATGTTTCTAGCTTGTTTTCTGAGCAATGTGGATGATGTTTTGGAACGGAGGGGCCGTTGAGTTTTGGCCATTTCTGTATATGCATTGTAATCAATGAATAGTAAATGTAAGATGAAGAAAATCCACTGGGGCAGGGGCCAGAGTAGGGTCTTCTTCCCTCAACGGCAGCATCCAAGCTTGAAGGAGAGAGCTGTATAGTAGTTTGGGCAATGCCTCATCCATGGACTTATGGTGAGAACACTTTCTGTGAAGTTGGAGATGCATGTTCAAACTTGCCTGTGGCAGAGAGGAGTCTAGAAACAGGGTTTCCCACTCAATGGGCAAGTGCTCCAACCACTAGGTTATTGCACTAAAAAGTAGGAGGGTCCTTAGGTCTAGTCATATTCTAGATATTTTTTCTGTGCCTAAGTTTTGTGAGTTACTCCTTGTTATGCATATGCCTGCATGATTTGACTCCTTCTTGGAGCCAATGTGGCCAGCATATGCTTAAAAGGGAAGTGCAGAGCCAGCGTTGTGGTGCAAGTGCAAATATAACAGAGGTTGAAGAAAAGAATTATCAAAGATACGGAGGCAGACAGAAAACAAATTACTACTTGGTCTTATCCAAGGAAGACCACATCAGACCAAATTAATGACCTTCCACAGCAGGATAATTAATTTTTTAGGAAAGGGTAATGCAATGGACTTAAACGATCTAGATTTAAGCAAAGCTTTTGATTCCATGCCTCAAAAGAAATTATTAGCTAAATTGGAGATGACATAAAAGCATGATTGTGAAGTAGACAAGTAGTTGGCTAAAAGAGAGAGACTGCAATGGACAATGTTGAAAGGGAACTCAATAAAGCTTCTGAGTGATGTTCATTGGGGACAAACCTTGAGGCCAATCTTGTTTAACATTTCCATTAACAATGTTGGTGAAAGAACTAGATGGGTGCTTATGATTTATGCAGATCACAGAAAACTGGGAGGTATTACCAATATGGAAGGGGATTGGACTGCAATACACATAACCTTGTGGACAGCAGTGATAAAATAGTATGAAATTTAGAAGAACATAGTTCTAAGACATACATTTGGGGATTAATATGAAGAACAAGTTATTAGATAGGGACTAACAGACTGGAGGCAATGGTGGAAAAGAAGGACCAGGGTGTATTGGTCAATTGTAAGGCAACCATGAGTTGCAGGTGTGACATGTCTGTAAAAAAGACTAATGCAATCCTAGGGTGTACTAGGTAAGGAATTTTTAGTAAGGGCAGGAAAACATTAACACAATTTATCAGGCATTGGTAAGATCCCATTTGAAATACTATGTACCATTTTGGTTGCTTATGTGAAAAAAAGATTAATTTAGAATAGAAGAGAGCCACTAAGATGGTTAGGAAAACAAAAAACCTATCCTGTGAGAGATTAAAAGAGCTTGACTTATTTAGTTTAGCAAAATGAAATTTGAGAAGGGGTTGTATGATTACTCTTTACACTTGCAGGTTGAAAAATAAGGAATGAGGGAGCTATTTATATTACAGAATAACTAAAGAATTAGCATGAGATCAAATGAATGCAAACTGAAGAAAGCTAGACTAGAAATGAGAAACAAAAAGTCTAACAATCTATTTTTTTTTTTTAGAGAAGTGCAGTTTTAGAATAGTCTTCTCAAACAAGTAGTGGAGGCAGGAATTTGAATTGCTTCAAGAAAAACAGCAATAAGTTTATGGAAGGAATATTATGATGCGCCAGGGTGTTTCTCATACCACTGTTACAATATGAATGGATTCCAGTGGTTGCTTTCATTGTGATGGGGCTGAAAGGAAAACAGTTTCTGTGTGGGAAGCATCCTATGCTTTATGGCTTCTGGCAGCAACTTGTAAGAACCAAGACTTTTTTCCTGTGAAGGCATCACTGGTTTTTTTCCCCTTTCTCTCTCAAGCACTGAACATTGGGAGATGTAAGAAAAATTTGTATTGGGTGTTCGTTCTGCTGCCAGTTCTGGTGTGTAGAGAGTCTCAAGATCTGTACAAATCTACAAAGTGGGGTCTGTGGGAAGGTTGGTGTGGTAAGTGGGGTTCACAGGAGCAATTAGGGGGATTGGGGCGGGAGGTGGGTTCTGTGGAGGGTGCTGAAACCTGGGGGGTGGGGCTTGGGGAGCTGTCCCCTCCCACCAGACCAGGGACTATTTTTAGGCCCCTCACACCCACCAGCGAACCTTCCCCCCATCCTGCCCATCCCTCCCCCAACCAGGACTTACTTTACACTCTTTTCCACTGACTTTAATGAGCTTTGGACCTGTGCAATGAATCACCAAGGGCCTGGTGTTGCAGTAAGATGTCTACTGCACACAACTTTCATTTAAAACCAGTGACAGCAGAGGACAGGCAGTCAGCCTCTTGGGGAAGCTGGTTAGCAATGCAGGGAACATATCCATCCTACTTTGCTATAAGGCTTATTTCTCTTTTTTGCTCAATAGCTATAACCTGTTCCTGTCCTCTTAAGATTCTGTCATCCAGCATAGAAAAAGGTAACTCAAAGTCCTGTACAAAACTGTGATAATTACAGTTTACAAATAATTTTCAACTAAATAAACTAAATCTATTTTAGAAAAATTAAGATTTTTCTCCCCTCTTTGCATTACTAATGCAAATGCTTAAAGTCTATCAGCAGAATAGTTAGTTGTACCTAATAAATAATAAACATGTGCTATCCTGTGATAGCACGTTATTGTTGTTCTTATTGTTATTATTATTGTAGAAAATGGTGTGCAGTCTCAGGCTGGTATGGTAATTATATGGTAATTCTAGCAAGTGGCATACTACCATAAAATGTCTGGGCACTACAAGTCCCAGAAAGAGTGTACACAACCTCATAAAATGTATAAAATGGTACTCTAAATACTAACATTTTTCCAATCTTTTCCAGTTTTTCTGTTCATACCTTTAAGAAGTGATTTACCTTGTATATATAAAACATTTATGTATAGAGCTAGGTGAGTGTTGTGATGTAATTACTTTGAATCTTTAATGGAAGCCTTAGATAGATTAATTTGGACTGTGCTCTCCTTTTGTGTTCTCTTTCTAGACATATTCTAATAAATGAGTATTAAGAATTATAAGTAGAATTCTGCCATGTAAAGGAGTATCCCCATAAAGTAGGCCTAGTATTTGCTTTTATGCCCTTTGAAAAGAGCTGTTGAAGTTTCAAATGACAAATTTTATACTTGAATATGCAATTCCAAACTTGTATTGTTATTAAGCAGCTACTTAAAACATCAGTGAGGATATAGAAACATTTGACCCGTATAATAAAGAAGAGTTGGAGTGAGGCGATCCAAGCATAACAAAAAATGGAAACTTACGGACAGTAATATTTGGATGGCACTGTGAATGACCTCTAGGTACTGGAAGTCAATTATACAGCCTGTCACAGAGACGTAGGAGTAATCATCTAGGATTCCAGGGGCTGACGGACGTACCACCCTCCGTATGCAGCCGGGCCCATGCTCTCGCCACCAAGAACGATGCATTGAGATGTTAAAGGTCATAAGATCAGTTTCCTAGGAGACAGAGAAAGAAAGGGGATGAGCTCCTCTGTCACTGCATCATTTAAGGTGAAAAGGGGAAATTTTCCCTATTTAACAAGAAAATTGAAGATAACTGAACATTTTTATATGAAAACAAACCATAAACAAGGAAAGAGAAATGCATTGACATTTGTTATTTATACAGCAGGTGTGCACAGAAGACTCCCCTATGTTGGGAGTTCCTTGGACTAGGTGTTTTATGAAGAGCAAATAAGTGTCTCCACCCCAAAGAATGCATAATGCAAAATTACATTTCTATTTCTGTGTTCTTAGTAAGTGACTCCAGCATATATTTATTTTTCTAGTAGGCAGAGATGACAGTCACTTGTATCCAGCCCAGCTCCTAAAGGAGAAGATCTAAATGAACCTCTATGGAAGGTACTTGATTCAGTTTCTTTAGAGGAAATAGTTTTTAGGCCTTGTGCAAATAGGGAAGTATTCGATTCGGCCAATTTGGAGGGCAGTGATTCGATTCAGATCACTGTCCCAAATTGATTCGGGTAAATTGGCTTCAGGAGATTCGGTGCTGATCCGGAGAGATTTGGTGATTTGGATCAGCTGGGGAGAGGCAGGCACAGCTGGGCAGCTGCAGGTTCTCCCACAGCTCCTCTAGCTATGCCTGCCTCTCCCTGAGCAGGGAGAGCCATGGGAGAAGCCCCTATGGCTGCCCTGCCTGGCCTCATCCCCCTCCTGGCCCCAGCCTAGTCCTGGCACTTAAAAATAAATCAACAAAAAGCCCCACACTCACCAGATGCAGCAGTGGTGATTTGGGCCTCTGGGTGCTCGTAGCAGAGCCCCCCTCCACACGCAGCATGGGGCAGAAGGGGGCAGCAGAGAGTGCCCCGCTGCTTGGCACCCATGCAAAAAGCTGTCACATCATACGGGTGCAATGTGGCTCGGTAGGGCACTGCACCCTGTCTGGGAGCTGGGGCTGCTGGGGCTCAGTGGTGTCAGGCTCCAGCTGACTGCCTGAGCCATCACAGCTCTCAGAGAGTATGCAGGGCCCTGCCAAGCCATGCTGTACCTGTGCCATGGGGCAGCTGCCGTGCAGATGCCAAGCGGGGGGGCGATCCCTGCTGCCCCCCACTGCCCTGTGCTGTATGAGGGGGCTCTGCCACGAGCCCTCAGAGGCCCCAATCACCACTGCCAGAGTCGGTCAGTGAGGGGCTGCTTTTTGTTTTTTTGTTGGTTTTTTTTTGAAGTGCTGGGAGGCTGGGTGTGGAGAATATGCCCTGCTGCCACTTGCCCAGCTGGCATGAGAGGGAGTAGGGCGTGATGCAGGCGTGGCCCACTCCAGCTGCCAGCAGGGCCATAGCCCCACTCCTAGCGCTGCTGCACCTGCATCAGCACTGGGAGCGGGGGCTATGCTCTGCTGCCACTTGCCCCCTTCTGCCTAGAGTGAACCGCACCCGCAACCTGCCCACCCCTCCCGGCTGGGCAAGCGGCAGTGGGGCAGAGCCCCTGCTCCAAGTGCTGCCATGCTCGCATCCCATGCTCCCCCCTCTCCCCCCCCTGCCCTGGCTGGGCAGCTTGTCCCAGCTCCAATCCTCCCTCTCCCCCATGTCCCTTCCCTTCCCTCTCCCCCAACCCCAACAGACCTACCAGCTGCAAGCAGCTGTATCAAGCTGCCTGCTTAGTCTATGGCCCAGTCTCCAAAGTGGCCTAGTCTTTCCCGAAGCTTTTCTGAATCAATTTGGATGCTTCAAATAGATTCAGAGCTTTTAATTTGTCTCCTGATTTGATTCAGATTTGCAGATCTGGTCCCTGAATCAGGCCAAATCTCCTCCGAATCCAATCAGCTACCGAAGCTTCACACAGCCCTAATAGCTTTTGTTTTCTGTAAATCTATCAGTGCTCGAGGCAAAGAACAGCACACAGGGACCGTGTATCAACCTCCTACTTTTACCTTTATGGCTAGTAAGATGGGAAAAGGCAAAAATTTGCCACATGTTCTATGGGCTTGGCTAGGAATGGACACGCTGGGCTATGTCCTGAAATGAATTAAATAAAAGTTGGCATTTTAAATTGGATTTCTTAAACTGTATTAAATCTGTGAGTTGATTATCTTATTCAGAATAAAAGGACTCTCCCAAATGAATTCAAGCCATTTTAATTCTGAATGGAGCGTCCATAGAAGGGGTTAAAACCATATAATTAAACCATTTTTAAATCAAATTTAGATTAACTTTGTTAATGCCCTTATGTGGGCAAACCTCACTATCTACACAGATATTTGTCATTTTCATGTGTACACTTGTATATAGATATACACATGCCTATCTGTGGTTATAAAGTAGGCTGTTATATTTACAGATTCACATACGGAATGTTATTTTGCAAATCTATCCCATAAGTTTAGTTTTCTGTGGAATTTAAGTCTACATTAACAAAAGTTCATAGTCTCTTTCTGCTGTTATGTATGCTATATACTGGTAGTTGCCAGGTCATTAATTAGATTTGGTAGTATATTGGTCTTCTGTTTTTAAATATTCTCTGACATTGCTTTAGAGTTGTTTCCACGATAACCTACTGAACAGAAATACATCTTGAAACACAATTCCATTCAGTAAAATATAATTATAAAGAAAAAAAAAAGAGCAGCAACAGTGTTTTGCTCATTTCAACAATCCCAGAGAACGCACAGTAGTGTCAAGTGCTTTTAGCAATTGACAAGTATGAGAAAGTATAATTTGTCAAGATCTGTACAGACTGGCTTATTTTCACTGAATCTGGTAGCTCTTTACTAAGGTGTTTGGCAAACTAAACCTGTAGACTGAATATCAAGTGACAAGGGGGAAATGTTTTGATATCAAGACTGCAGAAATAGGTTGCTTGTAGCAGTAGGTTTTCATATGGATATCAGTTCTCTTTTCTCTCACATTCTTTTGGTTTTTCAAGTTTTGTATGCTACCAGTACTCCCTATTTAAATGTTTGCATTTGATTAGTCCATAGCTCAGACAAGAAGAATAAATAGTATTCTTACATATGAATAAATACTGTTAAAAGGCAGCTGACAACATTAACAAGTTAAATTTGGTGCAGTCACCACCGACACCACCTATTCTAATTATAATGAAAAATTATGACACTCAAATATCACTCTGTGGGAGATGTAGGCAAATTGCTGACTTCCAAATGGCAACTGTTATATATCTGGTTTTACTAGTACATGTTGATGGAGTTTATTTATATCTTTCTTTTCTGTTTTAGATTAATACTTTACTAGTTAAAAATGTGATTTGAGAGCTGATTTTATGTTACTTTTTATGGTTTTATGTTCATGTAATCAGAATTCAAATAAAAATATGTTATCTAGGTGCAAAAATATTTGGATCTACATAAGAAAGGAAACAGGAAATAGCTAACAATATTTTTTGTATTTCTCTGGACTTTCACTTCAGCTGCAGATTGTGATGCAGAGAGATGTAAAAATAATGAATATCCCTGGAACTACAGAAGTAGGCAGATAGTCACTTCACCATAAATAGTTTATCAGGCAGGGAGGAAAGCACATTGATGGTCTTATTTTTAAGCCTTCAGGCATTAGCTTTAAGAGCTTAAGTGGGGCTTATGTGGTGTGCAAGTCTTGCACATAACTGGATGTCACATCTTACTGAAACCATGGCCTTTTATGCCGCTAAACCATCTAAAAGTTTTCCCTCAGATATTTGGGTACAGGAACCTTATTCGTTATTTCTCTTTTGCTTCTCTTGAGGCTTAAGTGGGACTTATGTGGGGCATGGGACTATGGATCGGCCCCTTCAACAAAAGTGAATGTAACTGTATAAACATGTTTGGGGGTTTTTTTAATTGCTGCTGTCTCTTTTTATGTGTGGCACACAGAGAACAACATATCAATAAGGATCATCTTGTCACCTATGAAGGTAAATATTACTGCAAACCAGATCATGGTGTTCAGAAAACTTTAATATTACAAAGACAACTGTTTGATGTTTCCAAGGTGAGCCAATAAGCTTATATATAGCACTTGAGTAAAAAGAAAGGAAAAACAAACATATGTTTAACTTTATGCGCATGAGTAATCTCATCTAGAGCTAAATAACAAATGAGATATGTCCCCCAAATTTTTGTGCAAGTTTTTCCAACTTTTTTGAGATGCAAAAATTTTAAGTTTGCCATAATACTTTCATTATCTACAAAGCACTTAATAACATGCTTAACTTCAAGCAAGTGCTTTAGAAGTCCCATTCAATGTACTGGATGTTTCATTTGGTAATGCAACTGATGAAGATAATGGCATATGTTAATTATGCTAATGGTACACAGAGAGGAGGTGGCACACACATCACCATCAAAATCTAGCCTCTGCATTAACAAAAAGAAGATAGGATCATGCCAGTTTGTGTATCATTTTTCATTAGGGAGCCATGCATGGGTCAGTGTCAGAGTGTTTCTCCATTGCCAATATGTATCATGCTGATTCTCCAAAGCAGGCACAAAAAGGAAATCATTGTCCGGTATTACTGATTTTTTGTTTATGCAAACAAAATCATTTCATGCATTAGTTTGACCTCTGATATACTTCATCACAAAATGGCAGTGGTGCATGTGTATGAGCTGACACATTTTACATTACCAAGCAAAAAAAGAAAGCCTGAAAAAATCATTTATAGTGGCCAGAGTGTCTAATTTATAGGACTTCACTTATCAGAAATGTCTAAACTGTATAATGAGTCACATATGCCAACCTTAAAAACATCAACCAGTGACTTCATTATTGTTTACAGAAATATAGATAATTCAAAGATTGTTTCTACCTGTGTGCAACGTGGAAGTTCCAGTGAAGTTTCCAGAGGATAGGATTGAGACCTACTCAGAAAGCTGCTGTTTTATAAAGTTCTTAGGCTACAGCCTACTTATTCTCATTTCTTCAATTAATAAAAGTTTGTATTTGCTAAAATAGTCCAAGGGTGTGCCTGTGATTTTTCAGGAGAAAAATCACAGTTATGAT